CCGATTACATTGCGAGGCTAATTAACAACGATACACCACCATCGGTCGACGAGATTAGAAAGGCTGCCGCGAATAGAGAGAATTGGTCCAAGATTGTTGCCGCCTGCAAACCTCGATTGTTCGCAGCCGACCGATGATGATGATGATGACTCTAAGATAAATTCATATCAACGTGAAGTAAAAAGTAACATTCATTTAGAGTCACGGAAAAATGCTTTTTTCGTATTTAGCACACTCGCTAACCCCGAAGATTTCTTATTTTTTGCGAGTGGTACTGCCAAAAGTTTGGGAAAAATTTTGAAACTAATATTTTTCTACCATCAAAATTTTTATTCGCCATTTTGTTCGAAAATTTTTCCTAAACTTTTGGCAGTACTCCTCGCCAAAAACAGAAAATCTTCTGGGTTATCGAGTGTGCTGAATACGAAAAAGCACTTTTTCGTGACTCTAAATGAACTTTCTACCGGTGATATGGGACAACTGGAGAAGAAAATTCATCAGTGATGAGCAGTGATATTTATCCTGCTTTTAGAAGCAAACTGTCTAGGATAAAAAATGTTGAAGGGTATTAATTTTAACTTGAAAGCAAATGAGGGAAACTTAATTTCTCGATTTAGAACTTTAAACCTTAAATTAAGCCCGAGTAGTCGTTGAAAATTCCAAAGCGGGACACTTTTAATATGATAATATGAGTTTTCGAGTTTTTTAATGCGTATTTCAATGAAGGAGAGGAGCTATTTGCCTCAAACCTTGAGAGAGGGTGAACATCATTGACTATGATCTGATGAATAAATAATACAATCCCGTTCAACATATAGAAAAGTCTGGAAAACATGGTCATGGGAAGCTAAAATCACTTCGTTCTAAAAGCACTTTTTCACCATTGAGCATTTTGTAACTTGACCCTTTACGTCAAAATAGCTTTAAACAGAGCTTTTAACGTTAAAGATATGTTTTAGAATAAAAATCTAGTTATATTTCGGCTGAAAACGATATTTTCAACGCTATACTACAGATGACGGTAGAGTGCACTGCAGCTTATTATGTTTCTATCTGGCATATATAAATATACAGAAAATTTCTCTTTTCCATCTCGGCTTTAATACCCCCTCTCTGCGACTACGTAATATCTGAACAATATTCTCTTTACAGAAAAAACGAAACAGAACAACGTTTTCTTCGTTCTGTTTACTTTTCTTTTTTTTCTTCTTTCGATAGAAACGCACGATCAGACACGTGCAGTTGTATTAAATATATTACATATTCACTGATCGACGTTCTTGTGGGTATTCTTGTAAGATTCTTGCCTCTTGTTTTTTCAGACAAGAATCTTGTAAAATATTTTACGCGTATTTTTATCACAAGAATCTGCAGGAAATCGCTTTCTTGTAAGTTCATACAAGATTCGCGAGACGGAATCTTGTTGAATTCACAAGAGCTCGATTTCCTGCAAGATTCTTGTGTTAAAAATACACGTAAAATATTTTCACATGATTCTGATCTGAAAAAACAAGAGGCAAAAATCTTACAAGAATACCCATAAGAACGTCGACCAGCGTTCAGATACACAGTAACTTCTCTCGATGGAAATTCAAACATGCAACGATAAATCATGGACTGTTTCTGATTGGTCGAAAATCGTCCATGGTACTGTAAAATTATAAGTGATTTTAGAAAGTGATTTTAGCTTCCCATGACCGGAAACCATCCACATTGCTGGATGAATATATATACCGAGAGAACAAGAACCAAAATAAATATGAAAAAAATATATATGAAAGTTAAACATCCTTCGAATGATTATTAAAAATAAATGAATATTTGCCAGCATGCTGATTACATAGGACAGCAAGTTGAAGTCATCAACAGAAGTGCAGAACAAATATTACAATTACTAAAGATTAAGATACACTTAACCACTAACTACACTTAAGTACGCTCGCCCACAAAAATAATCACCGAATTACTACTACACGCAAACCGAATTCTAACCAAAACCCTGACCACTAAAAAACAAAATATCTACGCTAACTAGTACGCAAACTAGAGAATAAAAACAGTACTCATCAGTCGAAGTAGATTAGAGCCGTATCAAATAAGGAATATCTCTATCTTTCCACTTCTTGGCAAATGTTAGCAAGAATAACACGATATATCAGAACACTCTCTATAGGTATTTGCTAAAGTTTGCCGAGCAGTGGAAAGATAGAGATATTCCTTATTTGATACGACTCTATCATGATCTTTTTGATTTGTGAATGTGCGAAGTTTTAGTGGCGAACTCTTCTGTTTATACTACACAGAAAACACGAGAATTTCTATCGAAAAAGAGAGAATTTCTGTCTACAAAGCAAAAGAAGTTTTCTATAGAAAGAAAAGGATTTCTAGAAAAGTTCTGGAATCTTCGATAAGAGAAAATTTGATTTTCTTTCTTCTACTTAAACCAATGACATCTGAGCAGTCGAAATAGAATTTTCTTCACAGTACGCCTCTAGTGAGGGAACCTCGCGAGGTGTTTCCTCGCTTTTGAGCCGATATTTTGCCCACAAGTAGGGGATCTCTAGAGTAGAATAATCCTAAGTTGGTTCGGTTCTCTGAGCCTCTGGAGTCGAGTTATGAATTTTTCAAGTTTTTTGAAGAAAACGTCTTTATGAATAAAAACGTATTTCAGCATCAATGGAAGATCGAGTGATTAAATCTCACAATAAAGAGCACTATGATGACATAAATAACTTTCTCCCTCAACAGACAGGCACATGATGATTAAAGTTTATCTGAGTACTCTGATATCTCTTAAAACTGCTCTGACAACCGTCGATTTTGAGATTTACATATGATATGGAAACTTCACGTCTTGTCTTTCGATTAGAACCGGTGTTTTTGTCTCGAAAAACACGTTTTCAGACTTTTTAAAGAAAGTTTTCTGAAAGCGCTTAGCAGCAGCAAAACTAGTAAAAAAATTAGTAATTTTTGGAAAAATTGCGTACGTAGATAGACAAATACTTCTTCTCTATTTTGTGTTCCAGAAAGCTCGAATTGGTCTTAAATTAAAGAGGAAACTTGGCTTGAGGGAAAAGAGTTCCTATACAACTAGCCCATGGCTTTTCGGGTTTAATGACGGGAAAACATTAAGGAACGAAAATTTAAAAAATTGAGCTCTGCTATGTCATAATGCCGAATTTTTACTTTAATTTAAGACGAACTTGAATTTTCTGAGGCTCAAAATTGAGGAAAAAATCTTATAAATGTCGAGACCTACTTGTTGAATCTTGTATCTAATGTAACTTGAGAAAAACTTAAAATTTCTAGCTTAAATTTTTAGTGTAAGCTATTCTTGATAAGACTAACATTTGTTGAAAATTTCATTAAGTTCGGACAGTCCTTCTTGGAAATCGCTTTCTGAGTGGAGGAGGATCTTAAATGTTAACTTCGCTATTTACGGGAACCATGTCAAATGATACATGTCTTTTAGTCGTCTAAAACAAATGGAAGACGTTGTGTTTTCTTTCTTTCCAGCTGACTCTAGTCAATTGTTTATTACGCGCTGCTAACGTCTATTTACATGAAATTAAACTCGATTCTACAAAGTCTTCAACGTCAAAATTTCATTTTAAAATAGAAAATGGTATTAAAAACTGTGAACGGTAGTACATGACAGCTGTACAGATCCTCGATTATGAAATAAAAACATGATCTTTCAGTATTTTTATTTTATTAAATTAATTGAATAAATTCAAAGAGTATTATGTTCTTCGTTGCGTTGAAATATGCAAAGATATTAGTCAGTTATATTCTACATCAGTAGTTTTTGAGTGAAATAGTGCATGACAATACAAAGATCCAGTATTGAACTTATCTATTTCACTATATTATTTACGTTGTGTGAGGAAATTTTTATCTGTATTAGCTGAATTTTATTCAGCCATACTCGACCGAACACCTTCAGAAATGCTTAATGAAAAAAATTAATCAATTAGTTCGTAATAGTCTTTAACACGTTCAGTGTTCACGTAATAATAAGTGTTTAAATTAAATGAATCATATATGATACATGGACAGTGAACGTGCTAAACATCGTTTTAAAATTTTCTATTAAAAATGTACAATAGACAAAACGATTGCTAGGAAAATGAACATTATCTCGAATTAAAACAGAGTGTAAAGATTGAGTATAGTTTATGTAACGAAATATGCATATTTGATCATCAAGCTTCTTTTTACCATCAGTGCTTGATGTTCTATAATCATCGTTTCCAGTAAGATATATAATTAGATGTTATCAATATTACTTTTAATTTTAGATATTTATCTTCTCCATTTACCATCTGTCAAATATTTCTTCATCTATACAGAGAATATCATCATCTCGAATATGTCCAACAATTATTATTAGTTTTTACAATTCATTTAATCCAGTATTATACTTATTTAGTTTCATATTTGAATGTAATCATCGAATTAAATATAAAAATAATGGAATTTGAAGAATTTGTTGAATCATTAGAATCATTACCCATTGATTTGAGTCGAAATATACGTTTATTACGTCAATTAGATGATAAAAATTTACAATTAAGACAAGAATGTATTCATGTGAGTGATAAATTTAAACAAGAAATAGATAGCATACAAAAACGTGAACATATTAAAATATTGAATGATATACAAATACGTCGGTTACAATTAGCTGATGAAAAAGTCGTTTTAGCAGAACAAGCATCAGAATTATGCGAAAAACATATTTGACGTCTTGATGATATTCTCGATCACATTACTACACAACAATCGATAATGAAAATGTCCAATGCTCATAATAAAAAAAGGTCATTATCACCATCGACCGATGATCAAAATCAAAATAATAAAAAACGTAAAACAAAACAAATATTAGATTCAGTATTAAATAAAAAACAATTATCCGGAACAAAAACACTTGTACGTGCACCAAAAAAATTGTTACAATTGACAACAACAAATAATATAACAACAGATCAGGAACGAATTAATATCGAAGAATATGGTATGGAAATTGATCCAAATGAACCACGCTATTGTACATGTAATCAAGTTAGTTTTGGTCGAATGATTAAATGTGATAATGAATCGTGTCCATTAGAATGGTTTCATTTTCAATGTGCCAATGTTGATGTCGCACCAAAAGCAGATAACAATTGTGGTTTTGTCCACAATGTAGAGATAATAATAAACACAAATAGTTTATACATTTCAAACATTTTTAATTCTGTCATTTTCTTATAAACTGTGTATCTAACTCAACTATTTTCCTCTTCTGTTATTTTTTCTTAAATGTAATACATAGCTAGTTTCGAATTAAATTATGAATGCTTATTATTTTTTTTTGTTAAATTTCTTTATGTGTTCGTCGTTTTGCTTTATTTTTATTGTACTGTATTAAGAAAAATTATTTTTTTCGAATCGTATTAAATAAAATCTTTTTTTCATCTCATCTCGGATTACTGTCAACCTCTTAAAATACTGACACATAATAGTGGTCCTCAAAAAGTTTTCTGTATTTATGTAGCGACGTTAAGATTACTAAAAAAACCTAAACTACTCTCGTACAAGCTTGAATTTATTCAAAACTTTAGTAGTTTTAAATCGACTAGATCAAATAACTCTGGTGCCGCATCCAGGGCCTTTCGATATCTTGATTTGTAGATAAAATCTTTCTTATCAGAGTGAGATGGTCTCCTACTCTTCAGTTTCTGGAGAACCAGTTAAAATATCCTTATTTCGTTTTAGAACTTAGTTACAGAGATGTATCTCAATGTTCTTGACATATATCTATATGACAGACCCTAAAGAGCAGGAGAGCAAGCATCTCATTCTCATAAGCAAGATTTTATCTACAAATCAAGACATCGGAGAGCTCTGGATGTATATGGAAACATCCGTCCTTATTAATAGAAACATTAGGTATAGAATAAATAATCTGGATAAAGCAAAAAGAAACTTATACACATTACCAAAGGTCAGCTCATCTTTACCCAATTGATAACAAATATTTTTCTGTGTGGAATTGTTTAAAATTGTGTCAAGATAATTGAAAAACTTTAACATCATCAGAAAACGTGATGCTATTAGATCTTAAAGCATGCCGATAGAATTTAAAACACTTATAACGTGAGAAAATTAACCTTTATATTATGTACACAGCTTTCATAAAGGTATTCAAATACATATATTTTCTACCCATAACGAATTCGATTGTCGAAGAATATCAAGTTTACGGTTTTTATTCAACTTAAAGTTAGGTAAAAAAATCATCTCTTCTAACACTTTTATTAATCATGATAAAATTAGTTTTCGTTCTTTAAAAGTAAATAGATAATCCATTGTGACGATTATTTGTCACAACCTCTCTTTCCACTATGTACAAATTATCTTCATGTACATGTATGTTAGTTTGTTTTGTTCTGTCCTGTCTTTGTTGGTAGTGTTGTTGTCTCGTTGTTCCTGTTCTTTTTCTTTTTCGTTTTGTTCTTATCTTTTGGCATGTAGTAGAAGATATATGGCATCGAATAGTTTTTTCTTTAGTTTCAGTAGGTTGTAATTTTTTTAAAGAGTGGTCGTAATAAAAGTATAATATACATACACTACGTATTATAAAGCACACGTACAATAACCTCTCAAGGACTTATAAGTAGAGGAAATATAAGGTTCCTCACATCCATGAGACAGAAAAAGCAGTTACCAACGTTATTCAACATTTATTGCTTCGTTTTATATACAAACAACGAAAACAGTATGTATAAAACACAAAAAAGCGAGAGTTGGTTTGTGTCTTGATCTTAAATAATGTTGTGATTCGTAGGACACATATCGAAATTTCGCGCCTTTTTTCTAAAGGGGTTGCCAGAAAAATTTTTGCGGGAAAATGATCAGCGTGGTCGATTACCTATGAAGTCGTGTTTATCTCAAATGGATCACCTTGCTTTTATGAGAAAAAAAAAATTTTAATTTTAAACGATCTGTAACGTAAGATCAAATGCATTTGATTGACGTTCTCGAAACGCCGGCCAAAGCAAGTTTTGTAATAATAATTAATGTGGAATACGATTAAAGGCTTTGGCAAAAGAAACCCTATCTCAGCAAATTTCTTGTTTTTCTCAAGTAATTTTTCTACTTCAATAGTAATGAGGTGCATCGAAAATCCAGGGGTTATTGAGTATTTGACATTGAGATTTTCGTCAGTTTTCTTTATCTCTTTCGGTCGTTACTAGCGTGACTAAATCTTTCCACTTTTTTCCATAAAATCTCATGAAAACGAGAATTTCATGTTCTGGGTGGTATATAAATAAAATGCATGGAAGATTGATTTCTTTATACAAAAAGAAAAGAGGCAGAAAGTAGAAAACAACAAAATTTTTTCTATTTTCCAATAAAATTCAAAAAGCAACGAAAAAACAGAAATGATCCGATCGGAGAATTTGAACACATTTTTTTTCTAATCAATAGTCATTGAAAATTTACGTCATACTATCTCGGTGTCGACAAACTTTTTTTTGTTTTACTAATAAATTTTTCTACTTGTCTAGCAAAAAACTTTTTATGCTTCTAAAAAGTTGGAAGGTTCGGACCAGTCCTGAGGAAAAAGAACGACAATTAAAATTTACACTAATTACTAAACAATTCTATCTGACATTGAAAGAGAAATGAATAAGAATATTATTCAACAATATTTAATTGTATATAGTCAAATAAAATATTACGATAACAATATTCATATCTAATTTGAAACCCAAAGTAAATATCTGATAATTCGTATATTTTTATTTTACCCATTGTTTCATTAAACCAATTATTACTACCATGGAATAAATAATTTGATTCAAACCAATCATAATTCATTTTTGTTTCATCACATTCACAATCAAGGCCATAATCAGCCAATGCATAAAAATAACATTGTACACTTTTTTCTCTATCATGATCTAAACTACAACATTCATTATAGTATGTTAAATATTTATCATTTTTATCCAGTTTAATACGACATATAATTTCATAGATTCCAGGTAATATTGATTTAAATTTACCTTTAATACCACCATGATCAGGAAATAGACTACGATATAAACGAACACATTGACCTGTTAAACTATTTAAATCAGATTCTTGATTGGAATATATTCTATTGACACATTTTAAATGATCTTTTGAACAATATTGTTTTATTGTAAACATATCTACACCTAATGAACGTTTAATACCAATTAAATAAAAATACATTAACTTACAAAATGATATTTGAAAAATGTTTTCTCTTGTTAATTTTTTATTTTTATTGAGATAATATTAAAAGAATTTTTCAATTGTGAGAGACATTTTTAATTCATTTGTACGTGGATGTAATTTGTGATTAACTATTCTCTTATAAGCTAGATAACCATCAATATTACCTTTACAATTTAATATATTAAATAACCAATAAATACATTCATTTGCTGGTCCAATACGTCGAAGAGATTTCTGAAATTTTTTTCTATCGTTATCTGTATTATATGAATCATAATCTGAATTTTTATTATTTTGAAATATTTCGTTAACATAACGTTGATATAATTTAGATCCAAAATGATTTTGAATTAAAATCATCCAAAAATAATTATCATTTTCAATTAAAATATACAATTTTTTACATGTTTTTGATAAATTTATAATATCAATGATAGATAAATATCTACATAAATGGTATACAACAAGAAGAGGAAGACCATCTATGAACATTTTTTCCTTAAGGAAAAACAATAACATTTTTCTATGACTTTCTACAATAATTTATTTGAAATATGGAAAAGAAAATGAGATAGTAATCGAAATTCATTCCGAAGTTGTGACTAGACCATAATTCCAGAACAGATAAGGATGGAAAAGTTCCCGTCACGTTCACTTAACGTTAACTATCATTTTAGCTTTACTTTACTCTGAATAAAAAAACAATTGTTTGCACACGTAAGTAAACCTAGCAGCGGATTCGAGTATTTCTTGCTAATATTCGTCTATGAGCTTGTGTAAACTCTCTCTGAATTCATATCTCTATCGAACAGTGGTGAATGGTACTTTGGACTGAAAGATTCTATCTTTGTTGAACCACTTACCATATAATGCCGATGCACGGTCGATTTGAGGTGAAAACCTCTGAATAGGAAACTGTGAGTTTATATTTGAGAGATGGAAAAGTATCAGTAACTATAGTAGAAAAAATTTATCTATATTGGAATCAATGGTTGTTATATCTCAAACTACAGTATGAATGATATCATCTAAGTCTTTTTCAAGTTTGTCGATACGTTTCTGTACCAAATGTTTGATCCATCACATGAAGAGCAGGACCAATGAAATAAAAATAATGAAAATTGTTGACAATACGATATTACCGATTTCTTTAATACCCATTATTGGATTAAATTTGTTATCTTTGAAATTATCATCAAAAGATGTTAAGGAATTTCTTGTTGTCAAATTATAAATAGTCAGCAGTTGCTTTGTCATGTTCTTAATTGACCACGGCATAGATGATAATCGCTCATATTTTTCATTGGCTATTGATTTGATCAATACAATTCGATTACTGCAAGCAGTTGAGGCCAACTGAACATTAGTACATTTAATGTTATTATCACAAGGTATTTGTACGATTGATGGTTCGTGAATAGAAAAGAGACCACCAAATTTACCAGTGTTTGATTGCAAATTACAGTAAAGAGTTTGTTCTGTACGTGAGAAAAGCCAAACATCATGGTCAATATTCATAACTTCGCTTTCTATTTGACGAGAGCGTCTTATTTTGCATGAGCTAGCGATGAAATTGTCTTGGCTAAATATTTCGAATAAGCATGGTATTCTTTTAAGTGAAATGATGGGTGGATTTGTTTTGCAATGAACAAAAATAGAAAATAAACATTCATTTTTCTTCGGTACAGTATTCCAAAATATCACGGTTTCATCGTCTTTATTAATGCCAATTATCTCAGGCAGATTTGAATACATGAATTGTTCATCATCAACAATTGCGGGTAATGGCTTCAATCGATAAACTGAAAAGACATTGTCACTTGCAATTGACGAACGCAAGAATAATGTAGAAACGATAAGACATGGCTGATTAGTTCCCATAGGTTGCTCATTAATTGAGCATGAACGTTGAATATACATAGATTGACCCACGATAAGTTGTAAAATAGTGTTAAGGGCTTCAGAGAGATCTTCCATTTGATAAGATTTGTCGATGCAGACATGACTGCAGTCAAAAACGAAGCTAATTGATTGCTTGTTAGGTAATCAAATCCGATTTTATTATTTCTCATTTGTGTAAGTATGCGAGCAGATGCAGTTGGTGATATGCGTGGAATGCTCGATTGATTGCTAGCAAGAGGAATCTTGGTAGAATCAAGTACAGAATTTTTGATATCATTCGTCCAATGAAATTGATTATTGATGTAATGAACAATGGAGTACATTTTTAACATTGCTGTGTCGGTATGAGGAATTCTAAAAATTCGCTTAACATCTTCTTGAATTAAATAGGAAACTTGATCACTGTCATATCGAGGTAAAGTAGTGACGGTGTCACGAGATGGTAATATAGTCGCAAATTCCAATGTGTTGATTCTTGTGTTAAATGTAGTGAACTGACACACATCTGTTGAAGACGACGCAAGGCATAGGCCTTCAAGAGGTATCACCGAGTGAACAATTTCTTCTTCAAGTTTCGCCGAATATTGACCGATGCGTTGAAGCATAAATGCTTTGTCAATGTTAATAATTGCATCAGCTGTAGGTATATTTATCATTGGTGAAAGTGTAATCGTTTTAACTAAATTGATTGTATAGAATAGCAGTACCAGTTGTAAAGAGACAGCCATCGTGAATCAAAAGATTGTATGAATGATACAAATTGAATTTCATTCTGACCTGTTGCATGCTTTTTCATTTTTTCTCTTTCTCTCTCTTCTTCTCTCTCATCGGTTATAATTGAATTCAGATTTTCTTTGATTGTAGAAGTGTCTGTTTATCTATCAATCAGATCATTTCTTCTTTTTTTTTTTGTTTATCTATCAATCAGAAATTTTCTTCTTTGTCGATCATATCGACGTTACACTTAGCCCTTAATCTATTTTCAATGGATTAATCAAGCTGTGTTACATTTCTCACTTTTACATTTTCTGTCAAGCTTCCCTTTAGGCAGCTTAAGCTAGATCCAAAAAACATTTTTTTGCTTGGTTTAACGCTGTTAATGGTNAAAAACTGGTGAACGGTAATACTTGAAAACTTGAGACAAGAACGAAAAAGTGCTCCATTGAGTTTCCGATCAGTTCTGAAAATGCGAAGCCCTAGCGACTTTTAGCTTTTATTTCACAGCATTTCTACGGAAAGCTCAAAAAGAGGGGAGGGGTACCCTTAAGCTAGATCCAAAAAACATTTTTTTGCTTGGTTTAACGCTGTTAATGGTATTACGATCAGGAAGTTTGTGGTTATAACATGACATTTAAAAAGAAAAAAGAAATGTGCGAGCGCTGCACTTGTACAGCATATCACACAGCATAACACTTTCTTAGTTACTGATCAAACGAAATTTTCAGTCAAACGAAGTCTCTAATTCTTGCTTTAATTAAAATTAATTGTTAAGACGCATTGAAAAATATATCCTACTATAGATATGACTGAGCATAGTTTATTATTTATAGTCAATTAGTTTTACATGAGAAAGAACAAAAAGACAAATAAAACACAGAAACAAAATAAACAACCTAAAAAATGACTAAAAAAGAACCAAACAGAAAACAAATCAAGCAAAAAAATTTTTTTGTGAAGATTAGAAACGGAACATTTTTCGTGTTTTTCAACTTTTTGTTAAGAGGAGCACTTCTATCAACCTATCTATAACTCTATATATTGCGTTCTATCTGTAAGAAGGTGGAACACTTTTTTCTTACGGGGAACACCGGCTATAATGTTACCATACATTCACGGTAGAATACCTGCTAAAGGAATACCAAGAAAAGTGTACTTTTTCACTTCTCACATGTTCTATTATATTGGGCTTCATGCAAATAAGACGTTTTTTTTTTTTCCTCGTTTTATATGCTCATGCGCTTTCTTCGTTCTTTTCCTTTATATCGGTCGAAGAATATGTACGTCACAGCATATAGATATGGAAAAGATATATATCTTCTCGTATGATATGTAGACTTTTTTGTGTTCAATATCTCGATCAGATAATGTTAAACCACGATAAAATGTGATTTCATCTAAAATTTGATTTTGTTCGAAATTTTCATTAAATAAAAATTTTAAATTTTTACATAAATCAATAATAAAATATCTTAAACTATATAATGCTTCAAAATTTTCTGTCTGTAATGTATGATTAATAAACTGATAAACAAATGTATTTGTTTTCGTCTACCATAGAATAGTATTAGACGACTGATAAGTCGTTTCAAGTTCATTAATTTGTTCTAATCGTTTACATTGTCCATGGAAATAAATTCGACAATAATCAACCATTTCTTGTTTTGATTCTTCTGTACGTGTAACCATATTCAATAATGTATCACGTAATAAATGATATTGTAAATAATTTACAGATTCTTGTTCTAAATCACGAATAGATTTATTTGTTTGTTAATATATTTTAAATATTGAAAAGTGTTTTATTAATGAGTGCACTCGTTTGTCTACAGCCTGATATAGTAGAATATACTCGGTATAAATACCAATTAAATTTGAATATATTAAATCTTTATACAAATCTCTATTTATACAAAAATATATAAAATGAATCAATTTTATCATTATTATGGAATGATTGTAATGTATAACGAGAATATTGTCCGAAACAATGAGAATAATTATATTATTTTCTATCTTATCAATCATATTCATCTCATCGAATGTTGAACATAGCAGAAAATGATCATGCAAATGCTTTAATTCATTTTGTATTTTTATATCAATATTATTATCAAACCATATTAAAAATATATTTTGATCTTGATTTAATGTAATTATTGTTGTTGTCATTTCAATGTCAGATTTATTTACTTATCGCAATAATTTGATTCGTTGTCCCAGCCAAATGAAATCTGTAGGAGAAAAACAACAACTGCCAAAATGTAAAAAATGAATTAAAAGTGATAAAATACATTTCATTGATTGATCATTGTAAGAAGAATAAATAAATAAACAAAGTCGGTTGAATATGGTTTCAAATAAATTGTTTCTATTGCTAGCCATTTCACGTTTCAACTACTAGAAAAACATGACTTGTCAGTGTATAAGAAGAAATTCAAAAATGAAACTTCGACGTTGAAAATTAGAATGTTCTCACTATTAATGTAAAATGATTCAAATCATTTTCAACTGTTTTCAGTTGTTGGTTTTTACTAACATAAAACGGAACAATAAATTCTATTTTCAACCGTCAAATGATGATTCATTTGTTTGCGGTACAGTTTCATTTTTCTTCTTTTTGTTATCCTGTTCCGATGTTTTATTTTAGTCAGTTTTTTTTCACGTGGTTTTCTTAGAAAACTACGTAGAATCAGAAAAAAACTTCGAGAAACTATTAATAAGTTCTCTTTTATTATTTAATACATGTTGTATATTAATTTTTTAATTTTTCATTATAAAATCTAATAAGGAATAACGTTTATAAGTTCTTGCTAGCTTTCTGTCATGATTATGACAATAAGTAAATATATTGATTGTTTGATTGATTCTGACATAAGAGGAGGCGCTCGTTTGTAAAAAAATAACAAGGATTTCTGAAGGAGCACTGCCGCTACAGCCTTGTCGGTTATAGTCGTGACACGACTCCTCCGCCAATATTTTCAGAATAGAAATTTAGATATTTTTCAGCACAGACATACTTGAAAAGTTTTTCATAAGTGCGTAGAGAATGGGTGTATACGGCGGGAGGGTGGGGGGTTTTGAAAGCAATGTGAGTTCGAAAAGTAGTTTCATACTAAAAACAGTTGCATGATGCACTAGGAGACTAATGGCATTACTTCAAAATGGACTGAATTGAAAGATGTAATAGTAAATAGGTTCGCATATAACATCGTATGTTTTATTCTGATAGTGTGTTTCAAACATAACAGTTTTCTTAATTTCTATTTTCAAAAAATCTGTAGAACTGTCACTTGCGGAAATGTCGGTGTATTTACAGGTTATTCCATTTATTTTGAAACGATCTGCATAGACTTTTTCTTCGTTAGTGACTTAAACAGATCTCAAGATTCTCATATCAGACAATCCCGCTAACACTGCACATGTTGTCATAATACTTATATTTTAGATAAACGAAGGTCTCGTAACTGGATCATCATGTATCTTTGACATAAGAGTATTCATATTCTTTGATACAACAAGAATTTTTAGGCAAAACTAAAAAGTTCATAAATTCGGTTAAAATCAATCCGTGCTACTTCAAAAGATCAAGATAAACTCGACTTTATCTGCGCAATATGATTCTGTATTTAAAACGAGTAAAAATTATTATGGGTAATAGTAAAACATGAAGACATCCGCAGACACCCACAGACAACACACAGACATCCACAGACAGCACACATACAACCACAGTTACACGGACACCCATGGATGTCTGTGTAGCTGTCTGTGTGTTGTCTGCGGATGTCTTCATGTTTTACTATTACCCATAATAATTTTTACTCGTTTTAAATACAGAATCACATTGCGCAGATAAAGTCGAGTTTATCTTGATCTTTTGAAGTAGCACGGATTGATTTTAACCGAATTTATGAACTTTTTAGTTTTGCCTGAAAATATTCACAACTGGGTTCTTTCAGCTTCACTACGTTCCTGATTTATCATCGTAACGGAAACATTGTCACAAGATTCACGTATGTCTCTCACAGTCAACATGAACTGTCGTTCACTTTCAATTCTTTTCCTCTGCAGAAGAAAAAGAATTGTAGGTTTTTCTACTGTCGCATTGCACAACTTCATATTTCCACTAATATAAATGGACTATGAAACTCACTTGTTTATGGACGAACCGCAATCGTTTAGACCGAAACGACGAGTAAAGTAAGCTGAATGCAATGATACTTAATGAGCCGAAAACATTACGTAGGTCTATAACCAAGATCAAACGGTTACTTGTCTACAAGTGGCTGCTTGTTTTTGTAAGTTTGTACTAAATAAATTTTGTTTTACAATCACTTTTTCGTTACAGAAAAGCTTGGAAACTTGAACTGGCCCTTTCTACGTGTCAAGACAACGATTGGTAAGCGAATGGGTGACCGCCACTGAATATCAAATAACCGAATTATTTCGTTGACGTCCGACGTATATATTCCAGACATCTATGGGTGTCCGTGTGCTGTCTGTGGGTGTCTTCATGTTTTACTATTCCCCAAATGATGATGGTCAACTGATTCTTCATTCACATTTGCTGTTAAAGGAGATGATTATTTGTCTTGCCAAAGAAATTTACTCACAAAAGAATTGGTGAAACTTTTCTACTTAATGATCGACCATCACAAAATAGTTCTTCACATGACTATTAAATAAAAAAGTTCGTAACGTTCCCGGTAACAACTGATTTTCGTGAACTGATAGAGCTAAAAAAAGGCTTACTGAATAATTGCGCATTCAATTCGGTAGACAAATACGCTGATTCGGTGACTTGCAATATTTTCGACTTCGTCGGTGAATATACAAAAAGTCCGAAGTGTCCGACCAACCCGTCCAGACTAGTCTGCATTTGGAATTTCTTTTTTAAAGTGTCAGGACTAAAAGTCTTGACGTACGACGGATGCTGAACCAGAGGAGTAGACAGAACGGGGTGTCCAAAAGTCGAGCATGACGTGCTACTCGTCGCAAGACCGGCGCAAAATTTTCCCATACGTCCGGACGTATTATTGTCTTGACACTAGTCAAGACGTCCTGCGTGATGGTAAATTTGTTAAAAAGTAATTATTTGTACATCGATGTCTTCATTCGATTCTAGACGTCCTTTCGCTGAAATAGGAAAAAGTGGATATCAACTTGGTTGAGAGATTTCAAAAACTTGTTCATCAAAAACGCTCGTAGACACAGACTTTCCGTAGTCTATTACTGTGTACACAACAAGGTTTTGCATCGAGATATATAAAACCAAATTAGGTTACGCTGCAGCTGCTAAACCATTTGATTTAGTAGTGTACCGTTTAGCAGACAAACAAAAATTCCAAAAGA